CCATGAAGTCTCACCACTTTTTTGACAAAGAGTTCAGCAATGGATTTAGCAGTATACGGATGTTTGAGTAAAACAAAATGACTATACTTGGATAGTCTATCCACTACCACTAACACAACCTCATAACCTTTAGACTTAGGTAACCCAGTGATAAAGTCTAAGGACAAGTCCTCCCACACACCATTAGGAATAGGTAAAGGCTGTAACAAACCACCAGGAGTCGTAGCACTGTACTTTTGTCTCTGACAAACATCACAGGATCTGACATAATCCCTTACACTCATCTGCATTCCCACCCAATATAAGGAATCTGCTAGTCTGCGGTATGTTCTTAGAAAACCTGAGTGCCCTCCAGCAGGAGTATTGTGAAATTCTTCCAATAGCCAAGGGATAGAGGATGATTCGGGGGAAATCACCAGCCTGCCATGATAAAGTAAAACTCCTTGTTGCACCTGAAAACCAGGTCTAAGCTCAGGAGACTCCTGCACTTCTTTCATTAACTTTTGAATGTACGAGTCATTATTTATTTCAGTCAAAAGTTTCTGTCTATCAGCCCACAAAAGAAAAAAATGATAGAATTTATTTCTATTTCACCATGACATCTAGATAGAGCATCAGCGGCTCTATTTTCTAGGTCAGGCTTGTACTTGACTTAAAATTGATAGCCTAGAAGTTTGGCCAACCAGCACTGCTGATCTGGAGATGAAATTCTCTGCTGCAAAAAATGTTTCAAGCTCTTATGATCTGTATGCACAATAAATTCTCTTCCCAATAAATAATGTCTCCAATGCTAAATACACAGCACAAGGGCCATTAGTTCCTTCTCATAAACAGATTTTTCCAGATTCCCATCAGATAAAGATTTACTGAAGAAAGCAATAGGTTGCCTCTGCTACATTAGAACAGCCCCTATACCCCTGCCAGCCGCATCACACTCAACCTCAAAGGGTAACTCAAAATTTGGAAGGATTAGCACAGGAGGAGAAGTCATGATCCTCTTCATTTCCTCAAAAGCCTTGGCAGCTTCTATTCCCCAAGAAAAATTGTCTTTCTTATTCAAGTCAGTGAGAGGTTTTGCTATTTTACCATAATCCCGGATGAACTTTCTATAATACCCTGTGAGTCCCAAAAAACCACGTACCCCCTTCACGTTCTTTAGCGTAGGCCACGCAAGAATACACTTCACCTTCTCAGGGTCCACTGCCATACCCTCACCAGAAATGATATGGCCAAGGTAATCAATTTGTGCGCACCCAAACCTACACTTTGCTTGGTTTGCCACAAAAAAATGATCCACTAAAACCGACAAAACCATCTTCAAATGCCTTTGGTGTTCCTTGATATCTCTACTGTAAATCAAAATATCGTCAAAAAACACCAAGACAAACTTTCTCAAATATGGTCTAAAAATGTCATTCATGGTAGCTTGGAAGGTAGCCGGGGTATTCATCAGTCCAAACGGCATGGCCAAATACTCATAGTGGCCATTATGTGTTCTAAATGCCGTTTTAGGGATGTCATCCTCATGCATTCTGATTTGATGATATCTAGATTTTAGATCAATTTTGGAAAACATAGTAGCTCCATATAATTCATCTAACAGTTCATCGACTATAGGAATTGGGTACTTATCTGGTATTGTAGCTTTATTTAAGGACCCATAATCTACACACATTCGCCAGCTCTTATATTTCTTCTTGACTAGTATCACAGGACTTGAAAAAGAAATCACACTTGGACGAATGACTCCTGCTCTCAACAGTTCTGACACTTGCTTCTCAATCTCTTCTTTTTGGTGGTGAGGATACCTGTAGGGTCTGACATTAATAGTACCATGGTCCGGATAAAGTTTAATCTGATGCACCTGACTCCTCTCAGGAGGTAGCTGAATGCTGTCTCCAAACACTGCCTGGAATTCTTCTAGTATCGGCTTTCGGCCCTTGGGAATCACTAATTAGTTACTTCTATTGACTGTAAATAAGTCCACCACCAACCCAGCTCACTTCTGATATGAGTGTTCTCAAGGTAAGAGTTTAGATATCCTTTGCTTCCTTGACCTTGCAATTTTACCAACTCATTTTCATAAGAAAATTGCATAGTCATGGTCGTCCAATCCATCATCACCTTTCCAAGAGTACTTAACCACGCAACTCCTAACACCATATCCATTCCTCCTAACTCCAACACCAGCGCATCCACAATCACTTCAATCCCTCCCAGCTTCATGTTGATCCCTTTACACACTCCACTTGTTATCACTTTATGACCGTCACCAAGTTTGATACTCTTAGCTGTTGTAGGTGTGATAGCAAGACCCAAAGCAATAGTTACTTTGGGAGAAATGAAGTTGTGACTCGCACCACTATCAATCAACACTAATAGGTCTATATTCTGTATATTCCCTTCAACCTTCATAGTGTGAGATTCACCCATGCTTCCCAATAACCCCATCAGTTTACATTCCACCTCCACTTCTTCACTTTCCACCGTCACGTCTTCCATGCTCACAATTTCCCCTTCTTCTGTCATAGTTTCACCCTCTCCTAAGATTAAAACCCTAAGAGCTCTTTCTGGACATTTATGTAACGTAGGGTGGTATTTCCCCCACATTTGAAACATAGACCCTTCGCTCTCCTCTCTTCGAATTCATCATCGTGGAGACTTCGTACTCCCTTCCATCTCTCCGCCGCGCTGGAACGCGACCCCCCTTCGTTTTTGCGAGCCGAGGAAACCAAAGACGACGTTGAATTCGCGTTGGATCCAGTCGAACTCGTTTTCTGACTCAGGTTTGACCCACCCGCCTGAAACGGACGATTTGCATCCTTGGGCTGAAACCCACTTTTACTCCTTAATGACCCGGCCCAATCCTTCTGGCCCACACGCTCGTACCCCCTTCTTTTCACATCACGACGCTCGCCATCATCGCCGTCCTCCTTCAATTCCTCTTCAACATCCTTCGCAATCCTCATCATTTCCATCCTATTTCGGGGATTCAGAGTACGCACCCTCCTTCGAATCTGGGGTTTCAATCCACTCATAAAATATCACAAATACTGTTCTTCAGGAAGCCTGCAAACTTGTGATGACAACAACTCAAAGGCTTCGACGAAGTCCTCCACACTTCCCTTCTGCTTCAACATCGAAAGCTCCTCGAACGGATTCTTCAGACGACGTCCGTCATAACGAGTAATTAACGCTCGCTTCAGCTTTTCCCATGACAACTCATCTTCCGTCTCCATCAACAGGTTGAACCAATGAATGGTTGAACCTTCCATGCTCAAGCGAGCCAACTTCACACGCATATCATCTGATGTGTTCTGAACATCAAAATAAATTTCGGCCCGTGTAATCCAAGCCACAGGATCATCGCCATCAAACAGAGGCAATTTCACCTTCTTTCCGGCGAGATGAGACTCACTCTGTGCAGAATCATTCGTAGAGTTTTCTCCTTCTGGCGTCTCTCCTTTCTTTCCAATCTGTTTACTTAGTTCTGCTAGAACCAAGCTTTGTTGATGCATTTGCTGAGCGTGTTGCTGCATTTGAAGAGAAAGTTCTTGCAGTGTTGTCGTCACATTCCCCATCTGTGTCTCTAAAGCGTCAACTCGGTCACCCATCTTAGGCTTCATTGGCATATACAGTCGTCTGTTGTGTGTGAGTTTGATCCGGTAGGTCGGACCAATTGATGGGTCTTAAAGCACAAATTAGTAAAGAAATGGATATAACAGTGTGATAAGAAACTGTAATTGTATTACTATGAGATCCACAACTACAGGAAAATGGGAATGAAGAAAAAGAAAATAACAAACTGGTAGTGGCTACCAATTCCCAAGCACATAGTGCTCCCAAATCACCAAAAGTGACCCCACCAAATCCTAACATAATTCTGTCCTCGTTTTCCCCTTCCAACTGTAACTATATATAGCCACTCTCATGCCCTTAATTCATTCACAACCACGTCATCATCTTTAATTCCTTTTATTTTCTTCCTTGTGTAGACTCTCCACACCCTTGACCTAGGTCCTACTTCTCTAATCACATTTCTATCAGTATATGGCATTATACAAATAGAGATATGGTAAAAAATAGACATAGCCAGCTTGCTTAACACATATGGAATTACCATTTGGTAAAGTAATGCTAACATGTTTTATGCTATAAATGGAAGAAAAGGACTTTAATAAGGAACACACATGGTGCCAGAATCCAAATTCCAATATTGATGGATACTAAGCATGAAATTAAAAGTAGTGCAGATAATACTTAAAAAGACTCAAAATATGAATGATCATGAGTCATAGGAGAAACATAAATTTGGTTTGTGTTAGAAGGTTGTGCTGAGGGAAGTAAGTCTACTTGCTTTAGCAAACTAACAAGTTGGCCATACTAGTCTTGAGAAATTGTGAAAATGTTGTTTGCAGATGAAGAATAAGAATAAATTGTTCTTGATGAATGAGGCAAACTGAGTGAGTGAACTTGAAATTCACAAACTTATACCACATATTAATTTATTACAAGTTAGTTATTATTACTTGAATTATAATATATCTTGTTAGTGTTGTTTGTGTCCAAAATCACATCTTCAATCACTAATAGATAAACAAATATTTGAATCACAAAATAAAATTCTAGTATACATACGTATTTTTATCAATTAAATATTTTATGCGAACAACTAATACTCCTCAAAAGTTTAACAATATTTTAGATAACCAAATATAGATTCATTAAAAATCATTTTCTAATTATATTACTAGAAATTGAATAGGTGCACATTAATTAACATGCCTTGTAGCATTAGTATATTAATTGGTAGCGTCATTGATATAGTATATGCTTTTCATACAAAATGATTGTGTCTGTATCAAGTTTATTTTTATCAACTCTCTTAGATGATATATAATATCTTTTTCAATTCTATCCCCTATCCATAAATACCAATCCAGTTCCAACAATTCTTCATACCAAATCCAATAATCAAACAATCATCATCTAATAATAAGATGAAGATTATTCACACACTTCTCCTTATCACTTTTCTCTCATTCACCACTTCTTATGCTTCTGTCAATGATTTCTGTGTAGCAAATTTACAGGCTCCAGATACCCCTTTTGGCTACCACTGCAAACCCCTTGCAAACATAACATCAGACGATTTTGTCTTTCACAGCTTCGTAGCCGGAAACACCAAAAACTCCTTCAATGCTGCACTTTCCTCGGCTTTTGTCACCGATTTTCCCGCTCTTAACGGACTTGGAATCTCCGCAGCACGACTGGACATAGCCGAAGGTGGATCAATTCCAGCGCATACTCACCCCGGTGCTACCGAATTATTGATAATGGTTCAAGGAGAAATAACTGCTGGATTTTTTACAACAAGTGCTGTTTACTCGAAGACGTTGAAACCGGGTGATCTTATGGTTTTTCCACAAGGGATGTTGCATTTTCAAGTTAACTCTGGTAAAGGACAGGCTACTGCTTTTCTTGCCTTTAGTAGTGCAAACCCTGGTGCTCAATTACTTGATCTTCTTTTGTTTTCCAATAATCTATCTTCTGAAATTGTGGCACAAACTACTTTCCTTGATCTTGCACAAGTTAAGAAGCTTAAGGCACGTTTTGGAGGAAGAGGGTAAATGATCAATTGTTGCTTATGATCATATTTCTCTATCTTTGTTATGATTGTGTGTGAACATGTTTTTATAATAATATTATGTTCATGTTGTTCCAAATGTGCTTTATCAAGCTACTTATTATAAAGAAATAATAAATTGTTTCAGACATTTCTTGGCTCTTGTCTTTCTCTCTTTTTAAGGAAAGAATAACTATTGCGTATGAGGATATCAATGATTTTTAAATTGAATGGGAGATTGAATAAGCAAATTCTATTGATTATGATTTATTTAGAAAACCAAAAATATGTTGTATGAAAAACTATGTAACACAAGAAGTGTTTAGAATAGTTAAACATTCTAAGTACATCTCTAATCAAGATGCCTCAGAAAACAAATTAAAGAATCTAAAAATTCAAGATTAAAACATTAAGGATGCTCATAAGAGCATAACAAACCAAGACACTTTAAAGGATTGTGTCATGAAAGATAAAGGTAGAAAGTTGTGTTAAAGTTCTTTGCTTGAAATTACGATCAAGACCTAAGTTGAGTTCTATCAATATTTTGCCTCACTGATAATTATTTTTGACGGAAAATCAATCTGTTTTTTACTTTTCAAATACCTTAGGTACGCAGCAACCACAAAACATGCATACTAACTCTCATCTGGATTCTGTTTCTAAGAATATTATGAAAGTGACTTGCATGAGTAAGGACAAGATAAAGTAACATATTTCTATTGAAGAGTCTCACTATACACCATTCCGAAAAACTCATGTGAGACATTGGATCGAACTCTAGTGTGGTCGAAGTCTGTTCGCAAGTAATGCGTGTTGTAGTCGAAGTTTGTTCTAACATGCATGAGTAAATATTGCTAAGGTTGTTAGCATGAGTAAATATTGCTAAGGTTGTTAGCATGTGCTATTTTATTATAAATAGGATGCTAGTTTCTCAATCTTAGAATAAGAAAAAATAGGAAGATAAAATCCTAATTTCAAGGGAGAGAGGTTATTTTGTTATTCTTGTATACTTGTAATCTTATTCTAAGAGAAAGGAAAGAATAGCAGTTTAATAATCAATCCTTGTTGTTCCTTGTTGTTTTACCTTGTTTTCTTTGTTAACCTAACCCTTGTGAGTTTCTTGATCATTAAGAAACCGTTTATACTTTGTTTAAAGGTATCCGATTCACAACAAAATGGTGCGGTGAGCGTGGAAAAGATGCCTTCAACAAAGTATGAGATTGAAAAGTTCACCGGAGTGAATGACTTTGGTCTGTGGCGCTTGAAGATGAAAGCCCTATTGGTTCAGCAGGGTTGTTTGGAAGCGTTGAAGGGTGAGGCAGCCATGGACGCTGCGTTAACGGTAAAAGAAAAGACGGGCATGATCGAGAAAGCCCACAGTGCAATATTATTGAGCCTTGGTGATAAGGTTCTTCGACAGGTATCAAAGGAGACTACAGCATCGGGATTATGGGTGAAACTTGAAAGTTTGTACATGACCAAATCTCTGGTGAATCGACTATACCTGAAGCAAGCTTTATATTCATTCAAGATGAGTGAAGACAAAGTGTTGGCTGAGCAGTTGGATATGTTCAACAAGCTGATTCTTGATCTTGAAAATATTGATGTGAAGATCGATGATGAAGATCAAGCACTATTGCTGCTATGTGCTTTGCCCAGAACACATGCTCACTTCAAAGAAACTCTCTTGTATGGAAGGGAGTCTCTGACCTTTGAAGAAGTTCAATCAGCCTTGTATTCTAAGGACTTGAACGAATGAAAGGAGCATAAACCTTCGACGGTGGGCGAAGGTTTGGCCGTTAAGGGAAAATTCTTGCGAAAGGATGGTAAGTTCGACAAGAAAAAAGGTAAAAGTCAACAAAAGTCTTATAGTGGCGAAACATCTAGTATTTGATGTTACCACTGTAAGAAGGAGGGTCACATAAGAAAGTTGTGCCCTGAACGCCTGAAAGATCATGGAGGTAATGGCAATGCAGCCATTGTTCAAGATGACTTCGACTCATCTGATGTTCTTGTGGTTTCAAGTGGCGACTCGAGGAAAGAGTGGATTTTGGATTCAGGTTGCACTTGGCACATGACTCCAAACAGAGAATTGTTCGAGGAGCTATGTGATCAAGATGGTGGATCTGTGTTGTTAGGAAACAACAAATCTTGCAAAATTGCAGGTATTGGATCTGTGAGATTCAAGCTCCATGATGAGTCAATAAGGTTATTGACTGAAGTCAGGTACGTACCTGACTTGAAGAGAAATTTGATTTCTCTTGGTGAATTCGATAGAAAAGGATATGTTTTTCAAGGAGAGAAAAGTATCCTAAGAGTCATGAAGGGGTCGAAGGAAGTCTTGAGAGGCGTGAAGAAACAAGGCTTGTATACCCTTGAGGCTGAGGTTGTAAGTGGTTCGACAAATGTTGCATCCACGAAATCTATGTCGAAGACAGAATTATGGCACATGAGATTGGGCCATGTCAGCGAAAGAGGCCTGGTCGAATTGGGGAAGCAGAACCTGCTAAGGGGTGACAAAGTCGAAAAGTTGGAATTTTGTGAATCTTGTGTATTTGGTAAATCCTGTAGGGCGAAGTTTAACAAAGGCAAGCAAAGAACACATGGATCCCTGGATTACATTCATGTTGATCTTTGGGGGCCTGCAAGGAATCCTTCACACTCAGGTGCAAGGTATTTTCTATCCATCGTTGATGACTATTCCAGAAAACTATGGGTATTCATTCAGAAGACGAAGGATGAAACTTTTGAGAATTTCAAAAGTTGGAAGATTCTAGTCAAAACTCAGACTGGCAGAAAGGTTAAGAGGTTGAGAACCGACAATGGCCTTGAATTCTGCAATGAAGCTTTCGACAGTTACTGTGTTGGGTCTGGGATTGCAAGGCATAAGACTGTAGCAGGTACTCCTCAACAAAATGGCTTAGCTGAGAGATTCAATCGAACAATCCTTGAAAGGGTTAGATGCATGTTGGTTAGTGCTGGATTGAAGAAGGTGTTTTGGGCGGAAGCTGTTTCGACAGCAGCTTACCTGATAAATAGATGTCCCTCGACTGCCTTGGGAATGAAGACACCTGAAGAAGTTTGGTCGGGACATCCACCTAGTCTCGACAGACTGAGAGTATTTGGCTGTGTGGCCTATGCTCATATTAGGCAAGACAAGGTCGAACCTAGAGCTCTGAAATGCATGTTCATGGGATACCCTGAAGGAGTCAAAGCTTATAGGCTATGGTGCCTAGAGCCAGGTCACGGGAGGTGTATCACCAGTCGAGATGTAGTTTTCAACGAAGCAGAGATGGCTTTCAAGAAAACTGATGATGCTGACGAAGAGCTGGAACAGGGAGAGATTCCTGTTGAGGTGGAGAATGTTGATGCTGAATTGCTTACCCCAGATGAAGTCGAAGAAGACACAGAAGATGTTGTCGAAGATGAGGAGACTGATAATGACTACCTGCTAGCAAGAGACAGGTCGAGGAGAGTCATCAAGCCACCTCAAAGACTTGGGTATGCAGATCTTATAGCTTATGCCTTAATCTCTGCAAGTGAGGTTCTAGACGAAGAACCTAGAGACTATAAGGAAGTTATGAGGAATCAAAAGAAGACAAATTGGTCTTTGATGTATGTTATGGTCTGTACTAGACCCGACATAGCATATGCAGTAAGTCTTGTAAGCAGGTACATGGCGAATCCTGGAAAGGCTCACTGGCAAGCATTGAAGTGGATTTTAAGGTACATAAATGGGTCTCTGAATAGAGTCCTAATTTATGGTGGAGCCTTGGGTGAAGATAGTAAAGCAGTAATCGAAGGATATGTCGACTCTGATTATGCAGGTTGTATGGATTCTAGAAAATCTATCTCCGGATATGTGTTCACTATGTTTGGGACAGCAATCAATTGGAAAGCAACACTTCAAAAGGTCGTTGCCTTATCAACCACTGAAGCGGAGTATATTGCTCTAACTGAAGCTGTGAAGGAAGCAGTGTTGCTTGAAGGTTTTGCAAAGGAGCTAAAACTTCAAGGTCGAGTTATCACTGTTAAATGTGATAATCAAAGTGCAATACATCTGTCGAAGAATTCAGCTTATCATGAGCGAACCAAGCACATTGATGTGAGGCTGCATTTCATCAGAGGGGTAATCGAGCGTGGAGAAGTCCAAGTGCTGAAAGTTTCGACAGATCATAATGCTGCTGATATGATCACCAAGACATTGCCCAGTTGCAAGTTTTTCCACTGTATGCAGTTAATAAATCTGCATGAAGAAAGCTAGTTTCTTGATGTTATAGAGTTAGATCCAAGGTGGAGATTTGTGAGACATTGGATCGAACTCTAGTGTGGTCGAAGTCTGTTCGCAAGTAATGCGTGTTGTAGTCGAAGTTTGTTCTAACATGCATGAGTAAATATTGCTAAGGTTGTTAGCATGAGTAAATATTGCTAAGGTTGTTAGCATGAGTAAATATTGCTAAGGTTGTTAGCATGAGTAAATATTGCTAGGGTTGTTAGCATGTGCTATTTTATTATAAATAGGATGCTAGTTTCTCAATCTTAGAATAAGGAAAAATAGGAAGATAAAATCCTAATTTCAAGGGAGAGAGGTTATTTTGTTATTCTTGTATACTTGTAATCTTATTCTAAGAGAAAGGAAAGAATAGCAGTTTAATAACCAATCTTTGTTGTTCCTTGTTGTTTTACCTTGTTTTCTTTGTTAACCTAACCCTTGTGAGTTTCTTGATCATTAAGAAACCGTTTATACTTTGTTTAAAGGTATCCGATTCACAACAACTCAAAATCAACAAAAGATAATTCTCTTTTTACCCACACCTACCACAACACAACAAAAGTATCACAATTAAAAAATTCACGAAGAGTTGGTTTATCTTTAGTTTGTTGGAACAATCTTATGTTTTTCTGAGAGTAAAAAAAAGAAAAAGATTAAATTAACTGTAAGGAAATATTATGGTAAGAATTTTGTTATTGAGTGAGAAGAGATGTTATTTACAACATAGTGAC